AGGGGAGCAGGTCAAACAGACTGTGTCCAGGGTGAGAAGGGTCAGCTGAGATCCGGGCTGCACGCCGCAGTGTCCTGGAGGTGTACAGGTCCTGCAGAGATGGGAGTCTGCAGCCAATCACCTTCTCAGCAGAGCGCACAACACGCTGCAGTCTCTGTTTGTCCCTGATAGTGGCTCCAGCGTACCACACGGTGATGGAGGAGGTGAGGATGGACTCGATGATTGCAGTGTAGAATTGCATCATCGTCCGTGTTGGCAGGTTGAATTTCTTCAGCTGCCTCAGGAAGTACATCCTCTGCTGGGTGGATGTACTTCCGTACTTCCATCTTTCTTGATGACGGAGGTGATGGTGGGCTCCCACTTCAGGTCCTGGGTGATGGTGGTACCCAGGAAGCGGAATGAGTCCACAGAGGTGATGGGGGTGTCAGTCAGGATGATGGGGGGGAGTGGGGCTGTGTGCTTCCTGAAGTCCACAATAATCTCCACTGTCTTCTGGGCATTCAGCACCAGGTTGTTGTGGCTGCACCAAGACACCAGACGTTCAACCTCCCTCCTGTAGGCAGACTCGTCCCCGTCCGAGATGAGCCCAATGACGGTGGTGTCATCTGCGAACTTGATTAGCTTGACAGACTGGTGGGTGGAGGTGCAGCAGTTGGTGTACAGGGAGAAGAGCAGAGGAGAAAGAACACAGCCCTGAGGGGAGCCGGTGCTGATGGTCCGGGAGTCCGAGACATTCTTTCCCAGCCTCACGTGCTGCTTCCTGTCCGTCAGGAAGTCAGTGATCCACCGGCAGATGGGATCAGGCACATTCATCTGGGAAAGTCTCACAAATTGTCGTCATAAATACACATTCGTTAACCGTTTATTAATAGGACCTTTGAGCTCAACGGTAATTAATTAGCAGTGGAAATAATTTCTGGTAGCATCACAGAAATGTAGCAGTGACAATAATACTGTATGCTGTAATCGTACTGGGCAATTAGTGATACAAAAAACGTGTTTTATCCTGTGAATAAAAGTATGTTTTTGTCAATGTACCATAATAACAGAAGCGAAACACAATATTGTGTCAGGACAATTCACTATTTATGCACAATAAACAAAGGAGCATAGCGTGACCATTTCTGTTCAGCGCCAGACTTGCTTGTAACCTATATCACCAATTATGTTAAGAAAAATGACGTATTAACTACAACAGCAGACTGACGTTTGTGTAAATGCTTGGAGCAGACTAACATGTGAGCTGGAGGGTTCTGGGACGTTATATTTTGTCTTTGAATGGCTGCAATCCAGTCGCCTCTTTGTTACTTCGGAAACATGGCTCGAACAATTTCTCTTCAACGACGTAATCCGATAACAACCGATCTCTTTACTCGTCGGCTTCCCGTGGCTGTCATGCGACCGGCTATTGCAGTTAATAATACAACGGCTTCTTGACATTTTTGTGTTTCTTTTTATCGCTGTATAACTGATTTTAATTGAAAGCCTGCGTGCACTAGTACCTCTTGCCACGAGTTCCCAGAATCCTTTGCGGTTCTATCCGTGAATGACGTCACATTTTCAATCTCTATATAATATGCAAGTTAAATTTTATATTTGGGGTAAAATATCAAGTCTTTTCAAGTAAACCGGTTCAAGTCCAATTCAAGTCCCAAGTCATTGGTGTAAAAGTCCAAGTCAAGTCACAAGTCTTAGAACATTTTTTCAAGTCAAGTCTAAAGTCATAAAATTAATGACTCGAGTCTGACTCGAGTCCAAGTCATGTGACTCGAGTCCACACCTCTGGTATCGTTTCATGCATCTGTTAAAACACTCGACTCCAGCTACATCACGCGCAGCTGGAAACACTTCCCGAGCTGCCCGAGATTCACAGAATTTACAGAAAATGTTACATTTTTGTGATTTATATCGTCATCGGACGATAGAATTCTTATATCGGGATATGAGATTTGTCATATCGCACAGCCCTAATTTGAATACAAATGCAGCAGGTGTAAATAAACCAGGAAGGCTCGCAGAACAGTTGTGGTGAATCGCTTACAGCCCAGACCATAATTAAAGAGCAAGTTTTATTTATTTTTAATTTAATAAAAAGGATTAAAAGGAGACAAAACATTTAAATATATTATCGTGCTGAATACTTTGGATGTGTTTGATAAATAGGCCATTTGGCTGCAGTTCAAACATTACTCAGGTTAACATGGATCCAAATAGGGGAAAGCAGGGTCATAAGACGACAAGCATAAGTCGGCAGGTTTGACCTTTTCCATAGTTCTGCATCAGTAAACATACAGGAGTCTTTCTGGGAAGGGACCTTACAAAGTGCCTTTGCCAAATGATGTGTGACTGAAGTTCACTGCAACTCTGCAACTTCTGAATTTTAAAGTTTGTAATTTGAGTTTTCACTTCAGTTTTTCTCATGCTAAGTTTCAGATTTGTCCTTGATACACTTCAACAGACGCTGAGTGTTAGTAGCTAAAGCTGATAGCACACGTGTCATTTGGATTATTTATCATCCTCAGTTAAATCTCACTTCATAAGTAAATATAGAAATTACAGTGTACTTACTTTTAGATGTGATTAATTTCAGTAATTTTTAAGAGGAACAGTGAAAGTAAATTATCTAGACGTTAGTAAAATGGGAAATAACCTCACTGTCTTCTGCCTGATTAGGATTTCCCTCACCATCCAAAGCCAAAAGAGGTAAGTGAACACTAAACTGAGCAGATTGTGTATTTATAAAACCCCTTTCTGGCCTCAGGGCCCCAAATCAGCAAAGTATATCAAAAAGCTTTGAACGTTTCCCTTATAAGAGAGACTTGTGGTTAGATTAAAAACAAAAGTCAATCTTTCCCACATTTTTAGTTCAAACTTCAGTTTCACACCTGAAGAAAGTGGATGTGGTCTTCAGTGTGAGAGAGCTTCTCCAGCTCAGCGCCGGTCCTCTTGAGCTCGGCCATCTCCTTCTGTATCTTCTCCAGCTCCTCCTCAGCCTGACTGACGGCTGCTTTGCCCTGGACTCTGATCAGCTCCTTCACCTCGCTGTTCTGTTTCTCAATGGATCGGATCAGCTTGGAGAAAATCCTCTCACTCTCCTCCTGTGCAGCCTCCGTGGAGTGCTGTGGAAGATAAAAGTTTCCTGTTTTGGTCCCCTGGATTCACTGGAACTGCACTTTTGACAAAGACACATTTTAAAGCTCCTGGAGAGGAAATGCACTCACCTTGATGTATCTGATTACGTATCGTAGTTCCTTCTCACTCTCCTTCAGTTTCTGCACAGACTTCAAAGAGGTCTCCTGGAGTTTTTTCTAAGAGAATACAAAAGATGAATATCAATCACATGGAGCAGTCCCCTGTGCCGCTTAGGCGAATAATTTTTCGCGGCTGCATTTCACGGTGGAAAGTTTTGATTTCAAAAATCAAAGGATGGCAGTACAGTAGGAGGCCTTTGGTCTTCCAGCCAAGATACAGCAGCAGGACCAAAGCACACGTTACTCTGCTTGTGTTCAATATTTTCAATGCTGAGTTTTCTTCATTTGTATATAATGGCTATCACTGTGACTTTGTAGCCTTTTCCAGAGTGACACATATCAGTGACTTTGTTCTCATCTTTTCTTGTGTTGCTTTAAAGACAATCTTAGTCTACTTCATATGTTTTAAGTGATTCCTTGATTCAACAGGTCTGGCAGCAAAACTCAGCTTTCCAAAAAATGTCGATTAAGAGTTTTTTGAGCTTACATCATAGACTGTACACATGACCTTATCTGGAAAAAAGGAAATATTCAACAAGCAGCCTAACAGGTAACAGCCTCTAATTGGTCGGTTTTTCTTTCTTTCTCATTCCTCATCTGGCTCTCTCTGGCTTTAACACTTACCTCTACAGACTGAGGAGTACTATCCCTAAGTACTGATTTGATATGTAAATCTTGACAAGTTTCCCCTTAAAATCCAAATTTGTGCTGCCAGTAAAAGCTCTCTGTCTAAATAAAGGTCTTAGAAAGCCAATAGAAGGTCAAGTGCACATTTTGAATTTCAAATCCACTCAGAAAAGATTGCAAAAAAAAAGAAAAATGCTCAAACCCACCTGCTGTTTTGCCCTCTCGTCCACCACGGAGACAGTTTCATGGCCCTTATGGCTCTCTTTAACACACTGCGAGCACACACAGTGCTGGTCATTGTGACAGTACAGCCTCAGTAACTTATCGTGCTGTGGGCACAGCTTCTCTTTCAGCTGATCCGAAGGTGGGATCAGCTTATGTCCCTTTCCACGAAAGCGTTCTTCGTGGGCTTTCAGGTGAGAGGCGCAGTACGACCCTACGCACATAAGGCATGACTTCACGGCTTTGCTTTTTCTCACCGTACATGAAGTGCATTTCACCTCCTCTGGTTTGCTGGATTGTTGACTTTCGGCCTGAAATCCGGTTTTCTGAAGCTTTTCCACCAGTTCACCCAGAACAGTGTTCCTGCTCAGGAGAGGTCTCGGGTTGAACACCTGCCTGCACTGAGGACAGCTCCACTGACCTTTCTGCTTCGCCCTGTTCCAGTAGTCTTCAATGCACTCCAGGCAGTAGCTGTGTCCACAGGGGATCGTCACTGGGTCTCTTAACACCTCCAGGCACACTGAACAGCAGAACTGGTCCTGCTCAACAGAAATCGTTGTGGCTGCCATTTCCTGCACTCTCGACTGAAACTAGAACAGGCAAAGATGGGCGTAGTTCACAGGTGTGCTGACAGCAGCTTCTCATGTTTCACCTGCTGCAACCTGAAGCCTCCAATCACAGCCAGCAAAGAAGCAAATGGGCCGTCCCAGAGAGCCTGTGCAAAGACCAGCCTGACAAAGAAAACGCCTCCAGGTCCTACATCAGGGAAGCTCCTGTGAGATCACATTTAAATACAATCTGATATGAGGCTGTACTGGAAAATGGCATTGTTTTCGTGCCTGGAGCCAGCGTTTTGGTCACGGAGCTGATGTGTAAACAAAAACCACCCGTGAGAAAATGTAGTGCGTTTGTTTTTTAATGCCAGCATGTCAAATAATCCACGTTATCATTGAAGCAAATATGACTGTTTACAGAGGATTACTGGGTTAAAAAAAATAAATAATATACCTTTAAAAGCATCTAACACTGAAATAAAACGCACTAAGTCAGTCCTGCTTGTTGCTGCTGAATACATCGTCAGTGCGATCTTCACAGATGCTTTTCTCGTGCCTTTCCCAACACTGATTACATTTGAGTATAGCAGAATAAAAAATTTAAAAAAAAACAGCAATTACATGACTTAAGTTGTAGTGTGGCTTTGTGTGTGGACAGCACTTGAGTATAATGACGTTCCATCAGGGTGAGTGTGTGAAAGTGAGGTTTGATGTCCTTAAGAAGTCTTATTTCCTCCTGGGGTGAGCACGTCGTGGAGGGTGCTTATGTCTGGATCCCGAGGAGAATTTAGAGCCTGGAAAAAGAAGGAAACAAAGAAAAATCTTTTTTTTTTTTTTTTGTCTTTAGCACAAATAAATACCACAACTTATACCAGTAGAGTCTAGCTTGAAATGTGAGGAAGGGGTAAAGTTGTTACTAATTTTCTGTTTAACCACTGCTTAATACTGGATCGAGCCTTCTACAAAGAATGATGATCAACAACAATAGCTACGTAAAAAGATAAAAAGATCAATGCACACGTGTGTAAAAACAAGCTTTTCTGGAACAATATGAATAAAAACCAAAGTCCCGCAGCGTGGAAGCGATTGATGTTCTTTTTTCATTGTTTTCTGAAGTTTTGAGTTTTTTTCTTTTCTCATTTTGTGACGCTGTTTAACAGAATTTAGATTAAGTGAATCGATCCCTGCCTGGGCAGCACGGTGGCACGGTGGTTAGCACTGTTGCCGCACAGCAAGAAGGTCCTGAGTTCAATTCCACCATCAGGCCAGGGTCTTTCTGTGTGGAGTTTGCATGTTCTCCCCGTGTTTGCGTGGGTTCCCTCCGGGTACTCCGGCTTCCTCCCACCGTCCAAAGACATGCAGCTTGTGGGGATAGGTTAATTGGAAAAATCCAAATTGCCACTAGGTGTGAATGGTTGTCTGTCCCTATGTGTTAGCCCTGCGACAGACTGGCGACCTGTCCAGGGTGTACCCCGCCTCTCGCCCCATGACAGCTGGGATAGGCTCCAGCGCCCCCGCGACCCTGGAAAGGATAAGCGGAAGCGAATGGATGGATGGATGGATGGATCCCTGCCTGCCTTTAAGCTAAAATGTTCAATCCAAAAACCTGACTTAGCAGCAATCAAATAGCCAGCATGAGCAAACATTTTTTTAAAGTCAAACTTTACTCCGGCATTTTTTTACAAGATTATATCAGATTTGTCACGTGGCTATAGATTTATCTCAAAGTACTTTGGCTGATCCCTTATTTCCCAAAGGGTCACCACAACGGATCGATCCATGTTTTTGTTTTTTTTAAATATCGGACTATCAAATAGAAGCTTGTTTCCACTCCTGGAAAACAGTGAAAATTTCAGCTCAAACTTGTTGGAAAATAACTAAAAATTGAGAAAATAATTTAAAATTTCAAGTTATTTTCACAGAAGATAGAGTTAGTAAGTGAGAATTGTGAGATACCCAAACAAAAACTTTTAAATAAAAATCTAAATTGTAACTCGTGAATGTTTTTAGTGCCAGAAATGAGCTTCCATAAGTTCCTGACACAACCCTCCCATTAATCAAAGCTTGGGATTAGGACTAGGAGTGCCACGCAGCCACATGAGAGCACTGCTTGCTGACGTGTATCAAATAAAATTTAGGTCTCAAACTGTGCTGAGTGGCTCCAAAGTGTAGAGCTTCACACATCCACCTAACAAGGGAACGATCCCAGGCGGAGACAAAAATCGATATTTAAAGATTCTCGACCATCTGGCTGAGCTACTTATTAACTAAAGATTAGCTTTAAAATATTGACTATGTAAACAAAACACAACAAACAAATCTATCAAACAAAGAAACAAGAGTTAATATTTGCACAAGTTCTTGTTACAGTGACACCCGGCACTGGCGGGTTTAAGCACATCTAAACTCAATCGGCTTCTTTCTTTATTACACTAGAACAATAATATGAGCAGAAGGATTTGCATGTGGTTTGCTTGAGTTAAGTGGGTTTCACACACGTGCAGTAAATACTGTTTAAATGTTGTAGTTACCAAATGGTGAAAAGGAAAACGCTGGAGGTCCTGGAGTGAGGAAGGGGTTGAGAGGGCTCACATGACTTTGGTCTAGACCAGGCGAAGGGATCACTGCGATAACAAAGACGGGTAACAAAAAGAGGTTACTACAGTCTCAGCTATCGGTCTTTATCTGCAGATTCAGCAAAGCCAACTGCTGTGAGATAATAAGATCAGATTAACATGTCTCATTTTTCACAATTAAAATAAAAATAAAATAAACAGAGTTTTATCAGGACAGAAATTTTACATTTTTAGTGTGTTTTTGGTGACGTGTGAGAGTTTTTTGTGGATTTATATTAGTCTTACTTAAGTTTGATTTAAGGCAAATTCCTTCTAGAAAAACAGGAAAATATTCATTTTGTTTTCATGTTACACCAAACATGAAAAATATCAGTGTAGACCACTGAGCTTTTGATAAAGTGGATGAATTTCTTTTATATTTATATCACATTTCTGTCAGTATCTCCCAGCTGTTACAACAATATCACCCAATTATTATATCACTTTATATTTTTTTATTTAGATATTCTTTATTTTAACTGCCATTTATTATCTAAGAGTTGTTTGAAATCAGTAAATTATACATTTTAATCTTTAATATCTTAATGGTGTGTGACCCTGCTGCCAGGGGAGGTTTATTTAAATGACCCTACAGGCCTTTACACACCGGACACCTAAAATACGTGCGACTATGTAAAACCCTAAAAAATAAATGTATTGAGCTTTGTAAGAGTGTTTAATCCGGCGCAGATAAGATGGTGATTTTGATTTAAAAGAGTGATTTAAGATGATTAAAAATCATCCCTGACCACCAAAACTGCTGCACTGTTTAAAACTGTTAATAAAACCTGTGAATGTGACACACATGAACACTCACATGCAGCTGCTTCCATTTGTACAACTTCCAGATTAAAACTTCGATCCACCACCGTGCAGTCAGACTCGACTGAGAGATCTGGATTCCTTACAATTACTATATTTCTCACTGTAAAAGATAAAAAAGTAGAACAACGTCAACAGACAGTCGACAGAATCATTTATGGTGCAAAAAATTAAAATGTGATACAAATCTTTATATCTACCTCTCTCATAAATGCTGACACATCCGTTCTGACAGACCTCCTGCAGAAGCGCCTTAAAATCTGACACAGCTGTCATCACCGGGCCGAAGGTGAAGTCTGGGTCTGATGCAACCAACGGCGAAGCCGACAGCACAGGTGGAGCATGGAGGGACTGACAGCTCTAAATACAGACCAGGAACAGTGGTGAAGATAAAACTTGAACCACTTTTTTTCCCAAGACTTTGCTGTGGCGGTGTGTTTATGAATATTTCAGCACATGGTGGGCTTAGCAACATAGAGACTAGGAAGGTAAGCTGACGCAGAGATGTTTCCCAGCATGCTATTTATACAGAACACAACAAGGAAGGGTGAGTAGCAGAAATAAGTGGAGGGGTGGCATTCATGACAAAAGACAAGACATAAAATGGTTTGGTCAACGACCACAAGGCACCAGATCCAAGGCTGGGACTACAGTAGTGAAAGATTATCTACGAATGGGTCTGGATGTGATAAAAGCTTAGGAAATTCCTAAGTTTAAGAACTCCCTACAAACAGGGACTATTTTCATTGTGTAGCATATCGTCACAGTAAAATGTCCTGAGAGTGTGATAAACTCTTATCCACCTGAAGGAAATGGATGGGGTCTTCAGCGTGGGAAAGCTTATCCAGTTCATCTTCATTCTTCTTCAGCTCGCCGATCTCCTTCTGAATCTGCTCCAGCAGCTTCTCTGCCTCACCGATGGCCGTCTTCTCCTGAGCTTTAATCAGCTCTCTAACCTCAAAGCGCTTCAGCTCTATTGACCGAATCAGCTCGGAGAAGACTGCGTCGCTTTCCTCGGCTGCTGCACGAGCCGAACGCTGGAGGGAGACAGAGAACAGAACGCCAGGCAAAGAGTGAAGAAAGACCAAAAAAAACTTCAAAAGCTGATAAAATAGCAAATGTAGACCTTTAACAGTAGAAAGATTAGACATTTTTACCATCCAACAGTGAGATGTTGAACATCAGCACTTACGCTGAGAGAGAAAATGGCTTTTCTCAGCTCCTGCACCTCCTTTTCTCTTTGCTGAATCCTCAGCTGGGAGCTCTGCTTGATCTCACTGAGCTGCCTCTGAAGAAAATCAAAAATCAAAAGTCATGTAACTGAACAGAAGTAGACGCATTTCATTCTCTGCTACATTATCCAGATTTCCTGCTACACTGGGCCTGTGCACGGACTGAAGTCAGTTGTCACTAAAACTGAATCACTAAAAAAAAAGAGAAGAAATTAAAAATTATTATGAAGTCTTTCAGTTGTTTAATTCTTTGCTGCTTTTATTCCACACAAATACCCAAAAACAGGTTTGAGGAACTCCAGAGGTGTTTCAAACCCAAACTATAAACTTCACATCTCTGCTCCATTTCTCTGACGAGTCTACAGTTAAACTGTTTGGTCCTACTGTGGATCAGGCTGAAAATGTATTCTAGATTAGATAGTGTGGTGAATTAAAGACACCGAAACACTCAGTGATGAACGTTGGATCTTCTTAACACAAAGGATCTGAGTTATCTGCTTTAATGCGTTCCTCATTAAAACTGCATCACAAATTATGACTCGGTAGTAAAACCCTGAAAACCACTGAGACCTTTAAAATACAATCAATAGCTCAGTTCACAATAAAAGAATAATGAACAGCAGCAGTTAGCAACAGATATACAGAAAATTAAATGATGTTCATTTGCGTGACTATTATTTGAACATGTAAGCAGTGGTTTATATGTTTGCCTATCAAATGGAAAGGCCCTTGGTTAATTCCAGGAAGAGACCCAAATCAATTTGGAATTACAGCATGTCAAAATTTACATGAGGGTGTCAGCTTTTCTTTCTTTTTCTTTTGGTGAGATAAATAGGAAAAGATTTGCAGCTTTTCTTTAGATCTATTGGAGTCATTTTAAATATTTTTAAGTTGGTTGCACTTTTTTTCCCTCGTTTCTCTAAGTCAACTTAACAAGTGGCTCCATCAGGTAGTGATTTGCTCAGCAAGTGAAGCGGCGCTGATTTGATTCCAGCTGGAGACACAAGTCCCTTTGGGGTTGTATCTGGTGGAAAACTCAAACATGTGGCGCTTGCAGCTGTGACAAAAGAGCAGCTGAAAATACATTCTTCCTCTCTAAAGCACCCTGACACTTAGTCACATTGATTTTTATACTGCTGTGAATAGGGACAAATATTTGTTCATGCATAGGAGGCTCTGTGGTACAATGGTTGTCATGTTCATCTTACACACAAAAGTCCTTCAGGACTGAAACACAAACCCAACCTACAAGCAAATGTACATACCAGATGAATAAATGAGTTCTCTTATAAAGGAACAGATAAAGTTACCTTTAGTTGAGGATTATTTTATTTTGGAAAAATCTGGAAAATGTGACTTCTTTTCTCACATTTGATGTAAGGTAGAATACAACCCTACAAATGGCAACTGATTGACAAAACCAAATCAGCGCTTTAATGAAACATTCAGAGGTTCATAATTAAAGAATAGACAACACAAAATTAATGAAACAATGGGTTGATTTATAGATAATTACATGGCAACCACTTTGATAATCATTTCAATGCAGCTTCCAGCCTCTCAAATGTCTTTAATTATAAGATTTGCAGCTTTTCATTTTACCCGTGTGCGTGTGTGGTAGATATGTGTCTTTTCTGCCCCATTTCTCTAAAGCATCTTAACAGTTAGACTATTTTTGTCCCCCTGTGAATGGGTCCCTGGATTAGATTAAGTCTTCACTTAAAGAAAAAGAAAAGACACATTGTTTGACTCTGGAGTGGATTCAGTCCACTGTTAAAAGACGAGTTTAAGAGAAAGTGCATGTTGGAAATGTCAACACACATTTGCATCTGTGGATTATGTTTATATGAGAAAAAGACTATATTCACTTTAATGTTTACCTTAAGCTGCACTGCAGTATTTAGACTTTTTAAACCCTGACTACAGTCATACGGAAAAAAACTCTAAGGAAGCAATTAAGATTTTATTTATGTAGCACAAAAAAGGCAAAGTGCAACAAAAATGCTAAAACATAGAAACAAAAAGTTACCCAAAAAGCAAGTTTAAAAAGCTGCTTTTTAAAAGAAAGCACAGACCACACGCTCAGACAGAGAAGGTTCCAGAGGGTCTCAGGGTCACTGTTGCAAAAGCTCCGTCCTATTTTAGTTCTCAGCTTTGTATGTTGCAAAGCCAGCAGGCCCTGATCACATGACCTCAGGGACCTGCTGGGGTTGCACGATGGTGCCCATCCCTGCAGCGCTTTAAAAGGCAAAACCAGAATCCTATAGTGGACTCTCCAGATGATGGGGAGCCAGTGCAGCAGATTTAACTGCGGTGTGACATTTGAATACGAAGGAGACTTAGTCAGAACAATTGTACTTGTAAGGTTCTTACCTTTGCTTCCTCTGGCAGTTTGCTATAGTTTAGATTTAGTTAACTGTGTCAAAATGTTTTGTTTCCCTTTAATTTTTTTTTTAAATCACTTTAAGTGTTGCTTTTAGTCTTTTTATAATATGGGGATATTAGTGAGGGGCAGACTGGGGTTTTAAATCAGGGAAACACTCCAGACAGCACATTGTGGAGGCAGTTAACTCAGCCTCAGAAAAAAGGGAATGAGCTCCATGTAGGAGGCTTCCTCCCTCTGTGTAATTCAGGTGAGGTGATTACCTTCTTCTGCTGTATCTCCTCCTCAGCCAGCACCGTGTCGTGCCCTTTGTGCTCGTCGGTCAGACACAGGGAGCAGATGCAGCGCTTGTCGGTCCGGCAGTAGACCTCGAGCAGCTTGTCATGTCGCGGACAAATGGTCTCCTGGAGCCGCTTGGAGGCAGCCACCAGCTTGTGTTTTTTGAAGGCTGAGGACTCGTAGTGAGGCCGGACGTGATCATCGCAGTACGACGCCAGACAAACCAGGCAGGAGCTGGCCGCTTTGCTCTTCAACCCGATGCAGACGTCACACTCCACGTCGCCGGCTTCGGCAAAAGTTCGGCCAGCTGTCGGTGCCGCGGCGTCCTGGAGTGTCGTGTTCTTAAATATCTCCACCACGTCGGCCAGAATGGTGTTCCTGGCGAGCAGCGGCCTCGGGTTGAAGTTCTGTCGGCACTGCGGACAGACATAAACCCCGAGGTAGTCGTCCTGGTCCCAGTAGTTCTGGATGCAGCCCGAGCAGTAGCTGTGTCCGCACGGTATAGTAACCGGGTCCTTCAGCACGTCCAGACAGATGGAGCAGTTGAACTGGTCCTTGTCCAGGAGCACCCCGGCTTGAGCCATCGTAGAAAACACCAAAGTACAGCTAGAAAGTGACAAATAGCTACTGCTTTGTTTACAGGAAGAGAATGAGGGGGCGTGGCCACTGAGGGCTTTAACAGGACTACTTCCAGTTTCTGTATCGACGGTCGGCAAACGACGAATGGGTGCTTTGCTGCCACCAACTGGCACGGAGCGGGAGTGAGGCGAACAACAGGTTTATCGTACTGCAGACATTCTGGCTTGATGTTCAGAAATGGTAAAAACCAAATATTTCATTCGATTTTGCAAACTGTGTTGTAACGTTATTTTGGTTATTCTCTTAAACGAAATTAAATTATATATAAAGTCTTTAAAATTACTTCTAGAAAACAAACCATAAAAAAATATAATATTCCAAAGCATCTACCCACTGAAATTGTTATCTGAGATAAATCACGTCTTCTATTATAGTTGTTGTTTTTTTCCCCGTCTTTCTCTCTCTCTTCGCATATGTGGCATTTAATTTGTAATCTGTCTAGATGTCTATATTCGCTGTCTATATAACGGGGAAGTAAGGGTACTTAAATTGAATTCTAATAACTTTTTACATGTACTCCCTAAATTTTTAAACAAATATCTGTACTTTCGACACAGACGTGTTACTTTTGGTTAAACTGTATCATTTATAGCGTTTATACTCGGGACTTGGCACACTATGGGAATAACTGCACGCAGTCTGCGTGTTTACTGATGTTTGTTGAGCTTTGTCAAGGTTGCATTGGAGTGAGCTTCTGAGCATACGCGATGTTTTCTTAATGCGATATGATACGGGACTTTGTAAAGAGACAGTTTGGCTTGTTGAATTCTGTATCAAATGCATCAAATGCAATTTAAAAAAAATATCTAATAAGTATATAATAAAAATATATCATACACAACAAGATATAGAAAAAAGAAGAAAAGGGTTAAACAGTTCCAAGTTCCAAAAAATCTGATTTTTTTTTGGGCTATTTAAGGAAGGAAGGCAGCTGTTGTACCTGCTGGTTTTAGCCCTTGCTCAGTGAGTAAAATGGGTCGTTCCAGACATTGCATCGAGGGAGAAAAAACTTTGATCAGAAAGTTGATTGGATAGAGGAAAACTTAAAAAGAAGTGCAGAAAATAATTGGCTGCTCAGCTAAAAAGATCTCAAATGCTTTGAAATGGGAAAGAAAACCCGAAACACGTGGTAGAAAAAGGAATACTACCATCCGCCTAGATCATAGAATAACAATAATGGCAAAGAAGCATCCAGTGATGAGCTCCAGAGAAATAAAAAAAGATCTCCATTTACTTGTGAGAACTTCAGTAATCAGAAGATGCTTATGTGAAGCCAAACTATTAGCAAGAAACCTTCATAAAGTACCACTGCTGAAAAAAAAACACATGTATTGAAAAGGTGACAGTTTGCCAAAGAACACATTGACTGGCCTAAAGAGAAGTGGTGCGATATTCTGTGGACAGATGAGAGTAAGATTGTTCTTATTGGGCGTAAAGGCCACTGAATACAAGCCACAGTACACTTTGAAGAAAGTAAAACATGGAGGTGCAAGCATAATGGTTTGGGGCTGTTTCTCATACTTTGGAGTGGGGCCCATTTATCACATAACAGGCACCATGGACCAGTTTCAGTACCTAAAAATACTGGAACAGTTCATGTTGCCTTATGCTGACCCTTAAAATGGGTGTTTCAGCAGGAAAACACCCCAAACACACCAGCAAGCGGGCAATATCCTGGTTCCAGACAAAAACAGATTGATATCATGAAGTGGCCGGCCCAATCCCCAGACCTCAATCCGATTGAGAATTAGTGGTGTGACCTCAAAAATTCTGTTCTTAAAGCAAAACCCAAGAATGCAGAAGATCTGTGGAATGTGGTCCAGTCAGCGTGGAGGCAAGTCTAAAATGTTAGTTGTAGATCAGTATATACGGATATACAACTTAATATTAGTTCAGTGCTTAAAGGAAAAAGCCAAATCCTCATTTCATTTTCATTTTATACTATAAAAATTCCAGTTTGTGAATGAAAATGAAGACACTGCTATTTTTGTGAATGATCTAATATTCTTTTTCTTCATTTTCAGTAAAGAAAAGAAAAGAAAACAATATTCATGTTTTTATCTGGGATTCCAGTGCCTTTGTATATATGGAAATACATGCTATTATCATCTCCAAAAATGTTAGAGCACTTATGCAAATATGTGATGTCTTGATGAATCGAGCAGATATTTGAAGTTTTTTTTTTTTTTAAACTTTATTAAAGAGTTGAGCGCGCACGGGCAGAAATGTTGAGCGTGAGCAACACATTTTGAGCAAGCGCAAATGCAAAAACTGAGCGAGAAGGGCTGCTATTGTGTGTGTGTGTGTGACCTCAGGAGGAGGAATTTGACTTTTGCACGCAGGAATGAATTTTGTTCACTCAAATTCAGCTTTTCGTCGCTCAAAATAAATTTCTCCTCAAAATACAACACTTGCACCTGCAAACTTGTTTTTACGTGCGCTCAGAATAGTGGCACAAAAATAACGCCATACAAATACGCTAAACGTCACAAATCTCTAAAAACTCCCAATCTCTCTTTTTCTACTCTCTCTCGCTCTCTCTAGCCATCACTCCTAAAACTTCCCCCTCTTCCTAAACGACCAAATGTCATGTCGCCATATCATTTTTCGATTGGTCGACATGGTGCATTTTTCCACCAACACGAATCATAAGCAGAGAGTGCTTGCTAGACAGTAAACGTGGCGAAACTATTCAGGAAAAAACGCCGAGTATATATTGTTTATCATGACTCTGGTTTTACGTGGCCTATCAACACAATTTAAAAACTGGTATATATATTACTCGTTACTGAAAAAAGTAACGCCGTTACTTGTAAGGGGTAACGCCATTACAAGTAACCGTTATCAATTCTCCTAATTCCGCCGTTACCCCTAATTCCCATCACTGGTCTACATATACATCATTTCTAATGTGGGCCGTGCTGTTTTAGGACAGTGACATGTCTGACACTGACCATGTACCAGTGCCTGAGAACACTGGTGTGGAGGGGGAGATTGCATTCAGACTTCTGAGTTTGAATGCAAAGCAAATGTGTTGTTTAAACTAGAGACAGCTCTTGTGACTGAACAATAAATACTGTTCTGGGAACGAATTAGATTTTACAGTGACAATGAATCTTCCATCGTTTGTTGCATGTTTAAAATCTCAGTTTGCACTTGACACAGCTGTCAATGCCCATGATATTGAGATGTTCTTTGTAGATGTGCCTGTATTGTTGACTGCTTTGAAATTTACATTGAAAACCTGAAAGCAAGGTCAGAAACATATTCTAATTACAAACATTGCTATACAATTAAATGAAAAGAGTTGAGTGTGGAAGAAATGGCAAAAATGTGAAGGTGATTGTGTATTTCTGACATTATTTGTGTCTTTTCTGGAGTATAATGAAACCCACATTTTGGAAATTACACCTGTGCCTGTACATCCTTGGGCTCTTGGTCACTGATGGGGGGACTTTTCTAAATGGATTAAAATGTCACAATTGTTGGCACTTTCACGTGGAAGGATTTTGAATGGATACCTATCATTACTTTGACGATCACATTTTTAATCTGGACTCGTTATCTACAAATAGTTTTAGTAACTAAAACTGTAAAAAGCACATTTTCCTGTAAAAACAAGATTAATTTGGTGATGGAAAAATTAAACACATAAAGCTACAGCATCTAAACATAACTATAACAGCCCTGTACTTATGGTTTTTGAAAGTTGCAAATGCTGCTTTTCCAGCTCTGAACAACAAAGGAAAAACTCAGAAAGTCAGAAATTTTAGATTTACATGCCAAATGTTAACTGTTAAATGATCACCTAAAGGCTGTTTAATATAAATTAAGTACATTAGCTGTAAAAATGTCCCGTGAAGTTCTACAAACCAAACTGCATGTGTACTTTGCTCACAAAGACAAAAACAGTGACCCAAACAGTTTCCAGAGCATTTTTAATTGAAAAAAAATGCACTTACATGTTAACAAACACAATAAATAAATTTTGATACATTTCAATCAATCATAAATAGTTGGGACTTAAACAGAGAATGTATAACTTCAAACTTAAAAGAATCTGGTGATCAGTGCATCAACAACATAAATAAAACAGATTAGACATCTTTAAAAAAAAAAAAATCGGATTTCCTTCACACAGAACAGTACATTACTTTGGTCACAAAGGAAAAACTCTGATGCGTTAACGAGAACATCTTTCAAATGACCCCCTCAGTGGACTCAAACATCACTCAGACATTCATTGGTAATTGTGCGTTGCAGGTTTTGAAAAGTTGCCAGCAACCTCATGTTTGCGCATTACACCCGTCAATCGAAAATATAAGCACGCTCTCATAAAATGACACGCAGGCCTGATTGAGGGGCTGTCCTTTTAAAAGCAGATATTTTAATTCTTCATTGCACCGATATATTCATCCCTCATAAGAATTTTTGTTTTCTCCCTTAGGTTAATAATAACTTTGTGCAAAATACTGATAGGGAAATTAAAACAATCGTCAGCACATGTTCATTATATCCATTCAAGTATTTCATTGCACCCATGTCTTTTTTTTGGTGAAAAGTTATAACGTGTTCTAAACTACTAGAAACAGGCACAAAAATATTCTGGTTGTTTCAAAACATGCATTGACGTCAGTGGAAGATTACATTTTGTTCTACATGCTTATCTGAGGTTAGAGGATTTTGCTGAATGAGAATGAAGATGTGTAATGCTGGTCTACTTACAGTCAACTACTGAATAAGCTGCAAGGGTAAAGCTACAAACGCCATTGTGATCCATTTACATACCGAGCATTTGAAACCTTACAGTTCAAGTTTTCATGTTCAGCTCCCCTCGGGTCAAAGAACTTCACGTCTTACAAAAATACACAGCAGGTAGGATTTATTCAAAACAGAGATACTTCTGGAAGTCAACTAAAACACTCTACAATGTTTAAGTGTTTGTGTGCATGTATATGTGCGTGCAATGCTATATATGATATGAAATGTGTCGACACTCATGATACGCAGCGTCATGGTGTGGCTTCACTTGTTCTTTCCCTCTAGTCCACTCTCTGCTCTCAGGGCTTGGCTGCTGGCCGCAATGAAGTTCATCCAGTGTTTGAGGTCCTCCGGAAACTCTGGGCACTCGATCTATAAGCGGACAAAGTGTTAGATGAATAAAATTGATTAATCAGTCAATAATACTCATAGTTTTGTGATACTAAAATGTGACGATTTTGTGGATTCTACTCCTGAACAGAAGCACTTTGAGGATGACGCCACCACTTCCCTTACCTTCTTTTTGCAGATAAATTCAATGATGGTTTCGGGGCTGCAGTGCACCACATTCTGCCTACAGAGCATGATCGCAGAGACGAAGCCATCTTTCTTGGATACAAAACGCTGCTCCAAGTAAAAGGCTTTCTCGTCCCAGCCCAAAACTTTGGTCCGAATCTCAAAAGCCTCACGGAAGACCAAGGAGCGGCGGTACCGGATGGTAGACGCCCCTACCACCAATTTCGCCCCCAGTTTGCGTGAGGCCATGAACAGTCCGTTTCTCATGTAATGGTGAAAGCGTGCAAAGTCACACTCCCTCAGATACCGAGAGTTGTTCATGTGGCCCAAGTAGTCCAAATCATGTGGAAGGACCATGCCTTCGATGCTCTGCTCGGCTAAAATGTCCCGTATCCTGGGCTGGAACCATGCCTGGATGAACACCTGGGCCCCTCGCAGGAAGTACCAAACATCCAGGCTGCAGAAGAGCAGGAGGAGGGCACCCAACGCCAACAGCAACATCTCTCTGGAGAAATAGTTCAAATATTAGCATCAAAAATGAAAACCGAAGTTTTTAGAAAAGAACGTGTTTATTTGCAATGTTACAGTCATTATCTTTTATCTTATTTTTTTAAATTAAAAACATAAGCATTTTTTTTAAAGAGTCTAAATTGATGATTGCCTTCAGGATTAAAATAAATGCATCTTTGACCTCATCAATGACAGTGCAGATGTGGGGGGAAAAAAACAAAACAAGAGATCAGTGTTCCCCTCCTTACACTGACTTGAAATTAACCTGGCTAAAAATACAGAAGCAGCATATTTTCACAAGCAGTCGATTCAACCTTGAGGGGATTGTAAAGCTAACGCTTCTCCTTTAAAATGAACGGCCTGCAGATTGCTGTCAAAGCCAAATCTGTTAGCTTAGCCGCTAGCTGCCAGCAGCCGGTGCCCTCGGAATTAAAGCGAGCACAGCCTCCTCGCACAGCCGCCACACTTCAGTTCACCATATCAGACATTAAGCGTCAACCATACAGACGGCAGAAGTATCTTTTAATGCCCGTGAAACTCACTGCGCGTCCTGAAGAAAGTGCTATCATGGAAAGCGGTGCAACTTGAAGAAACCGGTAGAATCAATGAACATAATTTCCGGGTGTATGACGACAAGAAGCCTTATTGGTTGACCTGTCGGCATGGTTACACGAAAACGTTTTCGCGTTTTCCAGGGATTGGCGATGCCACAGTTACACGTGATTTAGTTACTTATTTATTTTATATCTTAATTTATTCATTTGAACCTTGGTTAACACAGACGGTATGTAAGGTCGTTCCGTGCGCCCTTTCATTCACTAGAAGTTACTGTTTACTTTGTATAAGACAAAATAGTGCTTTTTAAACATAGCACTGCCAATAAATAAAAACATATTAATAATAATAAAACTACTTAATATTTTTATTATATTTTATGGTACGAGAGTTAGTTTTTTTTGTTTTTTTAATGTTCTAATTAGTTTCCGCTCCTAGACAGCTTTCTCCTTTCAGTTGAATTTGCATCTTATTAATATAATATGGAGGGTATTTGTCAGGTAGATTTCAGAGATTCCGAATAGTAATTACAACACAGCACTTTGTGGAGGAATTTGACTCATAAGGCCATTCCAAGTCTCAACAAATGTATGTATCAAATCCTCAAAAGGCAAGACTAAAGCTAAGAATATTTCCTAGAAATATTTCTTTTAGTTTAGTTTGTTTTGTCAGTAGACAACATCTCAATTACTATGTTTTGAAATTATTTTTATTGCAGTGAATATTTTTCTTCACTCATAGTTTGTAGCTTTGCTTCTTTGTTGGGACACTTTTTATTGTAAGGTAAAAATCCTACAATAATTCAGAGAAAACCTAACAATCAGATGACTTCCTATGAGCAAGCACTTGGTGACAGTGGGAAGGAAAGACCACCAACAGAACCAGGCTCAGTGAGGGGCAGCCATCTGCTGTTACCAGTTGGAGAGAGGGGAGAGACAGGACAAAAAGGGATAGGCTGTAAAAGTGTAAAATACGTAAGGCTTATGGCCAATAATGATACTTAAGTCTACACGTGGCACCTTAGTTACAGAGTAACAATGTACTGGATTGACTTTATCTACTTTTATGAATAGTGTAGATAGTGTATTCTTTTCCGGGTACTTTTTTCCCACTGTTACAAACCTCTGAACCAATTCTAGTTTACAGTGGACATAAAAAGTGTACACAGCCCTGTTAAAATGCCAGGTTTTTGTGACATTCAATGGTATTAACTCAAAATTTGCTTCAACAAAGTATTAGGTTTTCTCCATGGGTTGTCTCCGAGTACTCAGATTTCCTCCCACAGTCCAAAGACATGCAGTTGTGGTGGTTAACTGGTGATTCTAAATGGCTCATAGGTTTAAAAGGTTGTCTGACTCTTGGCGTTAACTCTGCGACAGACTGGCGACCTGTCCAGGGTGTACCGCACCTCTTGCCCTATGGTAGATAGATAGGCTCCAGCCCCCCTGAAGTGGGGGTGAACTGACAGATGAATTGTACAGGTTACAGGTGACATGAAAAGTGAGAAGAGTTTTGGATTGATTTATTGTGGTCTTATTTTTTTACATCAAGAAAAACTGGTATCGAATCTGTTCTCACTTGTAACCGCCAGTCAGCCGTGTGCATGAGAAGTGTTTGTGACATGCTTTATGACTCAGTGTCCAGGCAGCATTCATGACACAGTCGTTCTGACTGAATTTTCAGCTTACTTTTTAAGTTTTACATGAAATCTGTGGATGTTACAAAGGCTGATGTGTCCTGGCGGTTCTGGTCATGCAAACATGTAAACTGTGTGATCATCCCATCACTCAAGCATGATGTCATTCCCTGCTACACCTGTTCACACTGCAACACACACACTCTCATATAAAGTAGTTTAATCTCTTCCCATTTGGTTATAGTAAAAACTTCAAACCAATTTCCTGAATTCTTTTATTGCTGTCACACCACATCATAACACACCTTATAAAACTGTATTACTTATATTTTCTAATATTTTATTATTTTTACCATAACTGTCAACCTCTCAGAATAATGTAGTGTGCTGTTATCAAGTGTTTCATATCTGCAAATGTTGGAATTTAAATAAAGCTTGTTGTACAAAGTGCAGGCACAAGTGTGTTTAAGTGAAGAGATTCTGAATAGGAGAAGACTTTCCTCCTGGGCTTGTAAACAGGCTGACTCACAAGACGCCACTTTTAATATCTGCCCATGAAAGGTTTTATTTGTTCTTCTCCTCCAGGCCGCTCTCAGCCCTGAGGGCCTGGCTGCTGGCAGAGATGAAGTTGACCCAGTGCTGAAGATCCTCTGGAAACTCAGGGCACTCCACCTGCAGCGTGCAAAACACAAGCTCAATGTTATTCAGCGGGACAGCGTGTGTAACTCATGCATCTGTGTGGTTTCCTCCCTTACCTTTCTTTTGCACAGGTGCTGCAGAATCTTGTCCGGGCTGCCGCGTATGACACTCTGCTTGCAGTACATCACGGCACAAACCAAGCCATCTTTTGTCGACACGAATCTCTGCTCAAGGAAAAAGGCTTTGTCATCCCAAGTGACGATGCGACTGCGCAGCTCATAACCCTCTCCGATACACAGAGCCCTGCGATAACGAATGGTTGTGGCCCCCACCACCATTGAAGCCTTGAGGGCCCGCACAGCCTTAAACACGCCGTTACGCATGTAGAGAGAGAAGCGAGCAAAGTCACATTCCCGGAGGTACCGAGCATTGTTCATGTGGCACATGTCGATGTCATGGGGAGTGACCCGGCCTGTTAGGACCTGCTCCGCTGTGATGTCCCAGACTGGAGGCTGAAACCAGGCCCGCAGGATGACCGCTGCGGCCCGCAGGAAGTACCACACATCCACAATGCAGAAGAGAGCCAGCAAGATGGCGAGCACCCACAGCACCCACCACATCTCTCTAGGGAAAAGATATTAATATTTATTAGTATTAATATGGTCATTAAGTGAGATGTATAAAAAGACAAGTCAGCCTAACAAATAATGAGCATAACCGAAGACAGACAGTGTTTCCCCTGTTCAACGGACAGACATTTTAGTTCAAAAACAGAAATGAAAATAAATAAAATATTTAGGGTCAAACACGGGCTCAGTGTGTGTTCACCGTTTAACACCCAGCTGGTCCAGCAGGGTGCTACTATGATCAGACTTCCATAGTAATGAAAAGTGTAAGTAGCAGCCAGGTACTGCTAATCAAATGTGCTTAATCAGTAAGTGAGAGCACCCCTGTAAAACCAGGGGATTTTTGCTGGTTTGGAGCATTCAGGTGTGTGTTAAAAAAAACAACACAGTTTTTCTCAGGCTGGATCTGCCAGCAAATTCACCTAAAGGTCAGACCATGCAGAAATCAGAGAAACTGCAATATGCATGAATTTATTAGCTGGGCATGTACTGCAGCTGATTACTTGAGGTGGATCCTCGTTTTCCCCTTTTAGCACATATAAGACAGCATCAGTAGCCCGACCCACAGTGACTTATGCTTAGAGTAAACGCTTACATGTTTCACACTTATTTACAAATTCCTAAAATTAAGACTATTATTTCTCACTTGTTTTTTATTTCATGAAACAAGTGAATATTTTTGCCTCTTCTCCCTGCAGCATGCTGTTGTGATTTAATCAGTTTAATCCAGTGTTTATGTGTCCATACCTTTCTGGAGGCACTTCTTCCATTATTGTGAAGGGCAAATGGGGAATCTCTACAGATCCACTGTGATGTACTCCATTTTCAAAATGAGTTTCTACTTTCGTAACACTTGTGCACTGATTTAACAAATCGTTAGGATAAACCGGTGCTGCAGGAAAGACAGGCTGCCTCTGCAAAATCCGCACTGCTTAAGTGCACATGCAGTTCAGAGAAAATGAAAAGACTGATACTTTTATTTAGATTTTAACGTAATTTAGTTATCCTTGATTCTCAGTGCTACCTATATGACTACCAAAGCTAAGGTTTGTGTGATATTTCATTACTGCATCCACTAACTTTTATTTCATTTAGATTAAACTACGGTTACGACCAACGTTCAGGGTGGGCTAAGTAAAAACACCGGTTTGTGCGGGCATTAAGTGCCTTTTTAGTAAAAACAAGTTAAAGAAAGTGGGAAAAGACGAATAACCGTCAACGTGTTTACGCCTTACAATAGGTAAAGTGCTCACCTGCTGTCCGCTTCGTCCTGTTCAGACTCAAATCTGTCAGTCGACACCACTCAGAGCGCTGGGCACAAGTAAAGCAAAAAGCGATAAACGCGGATAATACTCTTCCGGTGATGGCCTTCAAAATAAAAGCATGTTTACAATATTGCGTTAGAAATTCAACCCGAAAGGACGTAAGCAGGCTTAAAACCAAACAGCTTAATTTGTAATGACATAATGTTTTAAAATGACCTATAACTGTACAATGATGTTAAGTGCTCAATGTTTTTCCTACCTCGTTGACATTTAATTTGAAGGCCTTAGTGATTCACTTCGTGCCATTTAGACGTGACGTAAGAGGAAATGCCGGCGGTGATTGGTTATTTATTAACCTATTACATTTGATAGAAGTCCGCAACAGCAAACATGGTGGTAGAAGAAACTTCATAAGAAGCTTTTTAAACCCTTTATTTTATTGCACATTTAGCAAATCTTTAAAATAAATTTAAAAAAAATGCAGCTTTATGTCAGAGACCATTGAAATTTTCTTTTAATTTTAATATTTTTAAAACTCAGACCCATTGTTCCAGTGAAAGTAACTCCTCATGCTTCTGCATACCGAGATATTTTGGAGATTTGGGGATTTTCCCCTTCCTGTTCCAAGACATGGTTAACCAAGTTTGGTGTGGTAGAACTTGATTGGCCTGCAGAGAGTAATGACCTCAACCCAAGAATACCCCTGACTTCCTCATGGAGTACCATAGTTCCTCTTATACTTTCTTTAAATCCACAAAGATACAGTGCAACTCCTTCATACCTTCTATATAGTGCTCTGTCAACACTCTAAGAATCTAGTCTGAATTTGGAACATGAGTAAGAATAAAAGAATGAGCTAGAAATACCAGAAAATCTGCCATTACTCATTTTTATACTTTAATATATATTCGCAACCACAATAATTGCAATGAACTCTTATTAATCACTTCAAAAACAGAAGATAATCAAGAAATTTGGTCAAATAATGAACAGCATAATCAACTGTGAACTGAACATGTTTTTATATTAGCGGCTATGCAGCTGAAATTTCTAATATATTTGACTTTCCCATACAGGAAGGCTGGTTTGACTCTTGTAGAAGAAGTTCTATAAAAGTATGCAATGAACAGTGAATAAAAACTGTATTAAGTGCTCAGAGTCCGTTGTAAACAAATTTTCAGAAATGGATAGAAAAACCGACCTGAGACTTCACTAACTTGGTAACTTGTTTAGAACTTGTGTGATAGAAACGCCACAGCACCAACAAGCTGAGAGAAAAAGAAAAAAAGAAACCCCTATAGAAGTCTAGCTAATCTTCAGCCAGTCTGTTCCCTCCCACATTCACTGAATTTGGCGAGCTCGATGATCCATCACCATTTTCTTCATGTCCCTGTCCGCCATCATGTCACTCGCATAAAGCTCATTTCCTGGGCCAGCCATCGGATCATACCGGTGTCTGGAAGCGAGAGAGGAGTTTCACAACCCTAGAACATAATCTGCCTGATCATTTAGTGAAATGCCAAAAGCAAGTTAACATTCCTAATAAAACAGACTGTGAGACAACTTTTGGAACTTTGTGAGGACTTTTAACCCCTGAACTCACTGTTTGAGGTGTTCCTCAATGGCTTTCCGTTCATACACAGTACCATATACTGTTTTCACAGGATCAACAAACATCTTCTTGGTTAGAGGACAAATCAGATGTTGTGGTAGAAACTCTGGCACAGGATCAACCAGTTTCTTTAGAAAGGAAAATAAATCAAAGTAATGTGATCACAAAAAAAATCTTTTACATAAAACAGAAAAATCCCATAAATACTTTGTTCACTCACTCACCTCCTCCATGCTATCCATTGACTTTCCAGCATGTTCTCTTGTGTGCTTTCTGGCTTCTCGTTCGTACGTCTCGCGGCTTGTCAGGAATTCCTCAGCTAAAATGCTTCCAGGAAAAGGTTAATATGCGAATGTAAGTATTCATGTCTGGGGTCTGACTTGTAACTTTTATCAAATACTCAAACATCTTGTAGGTGCAAATATGACTAGCTGATCATACTGAAACAGTTCTGAATGCAAAAAGGGGTCAAATCAGGTCCTAGCAACGTGTAACTAATAAAGTGGCTGTTGAGTGCATATAGGAATAAAGTTGTGCATGTCTCACCTGTCCAGTGGGTCATCAGGCTCAGGGATGATGAGGAGTCCATACACAGCATCAAATATGTCCCTCATGGTGACGTGGGCGTTGTAGCTGCGATCAAATATGTTGTGGCAGATGCGGCCAACACTGTTGACATTGCAGTGGTACACCTGCCGCTGTGTTAAGATAAATGCTCGCTATGAGAAACACATATGCAATAACCACTTTTATATTACCCTAACAACTGGAAACCATTTTAATATGAACACTGTAGATGTCTAAACAGCTTTTGTTTGTATTTTGTCAGGATACACGTGTGACAAAGCGAACGAGCGGAGGCTTCACTGGGTATTCAGGACCAAACTGGCAGTACAGCTCAAACACTCCTTTCTCATATGGTGTGTCAGGAGGTCCTTGCATGAGAATCCTCCAGAACGCTGAAAATCAGAAAACAATCAAACATTGTTGCTATTCACTACAGGTCCTAGAAAGTGTTGCTATGCAGCTCTCAACAGTACAATGACTGCAAACACAAATCCCTAATAAGTAATCAACACGCTGCATTCATTTTCATTTAATTGTTTGATTAGCATTCAAATCTCCCAATGAATTAGTGATGGGATTTCCGGCTCTTTTTAGAGAACCGGCTCTTTCGGTTCGGCTCACTAAAAAGAGCCGGCTCTTTCGGCTCCGAACCAGCTCTTCAGGTTGTTTTGTTGCTTTAATTAATTTATTATTAACAATAATATAAAATTATGCACAAAAGGAATCACTAATGTAAAAAAAAAAAAGTGGATTTATTTATATATGTCTATATATAAATATATGCGGTGGCTTCTAGAGACAAAGCACGTACAAACTCCAAAACACATTTCTAGCGTTAACTGAACTTCCTTAACAGAGCTACTAGATCACTTAAAATACACAATTGAAAGCATGTGTGTTGTTTGTGTATTTATACACAAGCACTCATATATATTCAAATGATTTAAAAAAAAAAAAAAAAAAAAAAAAAAAAAAAGTTCATTTACCTGTTACTACCACACACCAAATACGATCCTTGGTACTTGCTGGCTTGTGTAGCCACTAGGTAACAAAAGCTCAACACTGCGCCCAGCATCCTGGAGCACTTCTGTTGTCTTTTGTACGTGTTTTGAGTTTTTATGTGCTTCTGAGTTTGTATGTGCTTTGTCTCTAGGGGCCACCATAAATATACTTTTATTTATTCACTCCACATAAAATGTAATAAATAAATCATATAATACAAAAATCAACTATTCACATTTCAACTTTTAAATATTTAAATTTTCAGCTGTTTCCTTTTACAAATTTAAAGTGAAACAACGCAAAACACTGCAAACCACAACACAATTAAATATAAATTAAAATATGAAAACAAAAAGAACATGCATATCCTCTGTCATATGGACCTGCATGAATAAACTTTCTAAATCCTTTATCATCTGCAACTGAAAATAGTTGTGCATGATCACTATACCTTTCTAATGTGACGTATTTGTCCCTGGCTCTCTTTCTCTTCCTCTGGCTCTGTTCCTGTGCTACTGAGTGTAACTACCGCCCTCCCCCTCTGCCCAACGTAAAGCACAAGGCTCGCATGCGGAGTGAAGCGGAAAAAGTGCGAGAGAGAGGGTGAGAGAAAGGAAGAAAAAAAAAAATCTAAGTGCCGTTTCGTTCGCGACCGACACATCACTCCAATGAATACAGAATAAAGATCTACCACAAAGCAAGAATTCATCAGCTGCATCACAATGAAAACACTGATTTTATGGGTCTATCAGGCAGCCCAGATCAAATAAAATACACAGAGCAATACAAACACAGGTCAGGGGAGAGACCACATCACTTACTTAAGTCTGACTCTGATGGATAGACTCTAAAGAAAGGATGAGGGTCACAATGCAGGCACTTGAGCTCCTCCACGATACGTTTGTCCTTCTCCATGAAACGACCATCCTTTGCCTCCCGAATCTTCTTTTTCAGAGCACTGTTTTGAATTGAATGCATTTTATATAATGTTTCATAAGAAATGCATGTAATAAAAAAGGACCACAAAAAGTCAAAATTATCGCTATTCATATGGGACAAGACTAAGGAGGCATTGAGTCTTAATCAACAAAATATTTTAAACTAAATGACATGCTTTTTGTCAGGAAGCCTATACACATTTTTAAAAATAAAAACCCAGCATGGCGCCTGATGCACTACCTGTCCTGTTGGGCGGTGCTTCAACTGGGTGTCAGAACCTTGCAAAAGTAAGATTTCGCAGTAATCTCCAACTACACTAAAAAAAAAAAAAAAAAAAAAAAAAAAAAAAAAGTTGCATGAAAATTGACATTTATGGACATCCTACAAGTGGAAGCAGACTACTTTTTCTCTTGAGGTATGACTATAAGTCGAATCTCTTCATATTTTGGACAGTTGAACAAAACTATATTGACAGATAAACCATGCAAGCAGAGTAAATTGTTTCATTAACAGCTCAAGAAACTCATTTTCTTTGATCAGGTGTGTTCTTAGCTTCTACAGGATGGGTGTTTCTGCCACTCACCTTTCTGTCACCGTCACTTTGCTGTTTATCTGGCTTGGCAAGGATGTCTCTGGATATTCATCATAGCCCCGAGTAGTAAACATGCTTTTAAGTATTCCCTATAAAACATGAAAAAAATATAATAACCATATGACGGCCATGTATGAAGTTAAAGAGTGATCAGATTTCCTTTTGAAGCAGACTAAACAGACCTCAGTGATGGAAGAAGGGTCAAGTTTTTTCTTGGGCTTCCTCTGTTCCAGAGAAAGAACTGTCTCGATCTCAAAGAGTTTCAGACCATCTTTGACTGTCTGTGGTTTGAAACAGCAGCCACCTGTAAAACACAAGTCACTGTTTGGCCCTTTTTGGCATCAAATGTTTGGTTTTTTTTTTTTTAAACTTTATTATGTTTAGATAAGCCAGAGTTTAGGACTACACTGTTAATACAGATACATATAAATACAGAAAATAATGACAGATACCAGAAATACTGCAGAGACTAAGTTAATGTCTCATGCTCAGTTAACTAGTTAGAAAGAAAAAAAAATCCTGAAAGCAGTTGAGATAAAATTACAAAGGTCCAATAAAATGGGCCAAAAGTTGATTCCATGCGTGCCCATTTACAGGTTTGCTTCCTGTGATTCCAGTTCTAAACAGCTGCAGGTTCCCATTAACAATTTCGCATTTACCTAAATTCACACAGAGAGTACACACCAGCTTCTATGTGCAACTGACACTACTTTTTGTTGATGATCATTTTGTGTCCAGCTATTAAGCAGATAGCAAACAGTTCACAACATCCAAGCCTGCAGATGGTACACTTGTTAAAGAATGCATCCAGATTGCAGCTTTATTTATTTTTATATATTTATATATATATATATATATATTTTTACTTTTAAGGGCAGAGAATTGTGCATTATTTATATATATAGTTTTACCTGTTGCATTGCTGATTCCATGGAGCATGTTGTTTTCCACATTTCCAAGAAGGATTGAATCCACAGTGACGTTTGATTTCAGCAGCTTGGCTGTCACAGCAACTGGGTCCATAAAGGACCTATGGCAAGATGAAAACAGTCAGCTGCTGCCCCAGCAAAACATAATTGATGGGTGATCAAAGGCAACTTAAGCAGAAAGTGAAACTTACCCAGAATCATTGCCATCTGTGAGGCACAGGACGCGGAGTCTACAATCTGGGAAGCTCGCCTTGATCTTTTCCAGCTCTGAAGCTGCACGTCGTAGCGCGTCGTACAGCAGAGTACATCCGCTCGCCTCAAGGTTACGTGTGTGGAACTAAAAAACAAAAGAACCCCAAAAAGGCGACAAGGAAAAAAAATTATATTAGCGCCACCGAGCAAGTTGTAATGAGGGAAATAAAGTTGCCAGGCTGACCAAAGTAAAAAAAAAAAAAAGCTTTTTTAGCTATATTCTATCAAAACTTCGAGCTACTGATCAGGTATCTCAAAACTCAGTTATTCTGAGTATGTCAAAATTTCCTCACACATAATACCACCTCACAATTTTTACATATAGAGGGCAATAAAATTCTTCTTGAGCGGAGGTAACAAGCTTCCAGAGGAAAGCCTTCCATCCTCACAATGTTTTGCAATCACCTTGAACTTCTCCAGATTTTCTGTGAATGTGTGGAGGATTTTCACCATGGAGTCAAACTTTACAAGACCAATGACGTGATGGAAATCATACGCCATGCTCCTCGTGGCAAAGTTGTCAAAGAGCTCTTTGACAGCATTGATTTTCTTTATTTCTGCATTTTCGTAGCACTCCTCTTCCATCGAGGAGCTTGTATCGATCAGTACCTAAAGTAATAAAGTCAGGAAGAGGAAATGTTTAGCAAATGTTTTGATTCGATTCCTTTACAACTAAAATTTCCCCAGATCTCACCAGTATTGCCTCTTCTGGAGTCCTGGTTGTAACAAATGACTGGTCGTCTCTGTGGTCGCCAGTGCTGTATTTTAAAAAAGACAAAACACCATCTTTATAGCTTTACACAGTTACGACCAGACAAGCATCACATACTCTGTGAATTTCCTGTTATTGGGTGGGTAGATTGTGCCTTTAATGCAGATCAAGATGCACAATTCAGTTCAATAGCGCCAAATCACAACAACAGTAGCTTTTAGGCATTTTATCTTGTGAGATAAAGAAAAAAAGGATCAGACAAGCCACTATGAGCAAGCACTTGGTGACAGTGGGAAGGAAAGAAACAGGAAGAAACTTCCAGCAGAAACCAAGCTCAGAGAGGGGCAGTAATCTGCTGTGACTGGCTGGGGGAGGGGAGGAAGACAGAATAAAAGACACGCTGGAAGAGCCAAAAATTAATAATAAATGATAATTAAATGCAAAATGGTGTATAAACAGTGTGAAAACAGGTAAGTGAAGAAGAACCTCTCAGTTCGTCATAGAAGACTCCAGAATGTGCCAGAATGAGTCTGCCCTTCGTTAGTTCACTCCATTTTGTTTTGGTTTAGGTACTCACTTGGCTGCTAGCAAGTTTAAATCCATCGTTTTTACTTTTCCATCCAGACAATTGTGCACTTCGATCATATCAGCTGCTCCTTTGTTTTTATGCAAATAAATGCCCAGATTATCTGACAGAGAAATATGAAAATGAAGCAAACATTAAGGATAATAATGGCTTGTATTTATTTATATAGCGCTTTTCGAGACCCTCAAAGCACTTGAGGGTCTCAATTCCACTATTCATTCACTCTCACATTCACGCACTGGTGGAGGCAAGCTACAGTTGTAGCCGCAGCTGCCCTGGGCAGCGAGCCTGCCATATCATGCCATATCATGTGAAGTGTCTTGCCCAAGGACACAACGACCAAGACAGACAGAGCAGGGGATCAAACTGTTACAAGATGAGCTTCCCAACCCTTGAAACCATGGTCGCCCCATTAAGTTAGGTATAATGCCTCTCAACACACATGATAAAAACTTGATGTCAGAGGTCAAAGGCAAAGTAGGGGAACTGGTGGAAATTCCTTGTCCACTTAATTTAAAGTGACTAACAGTTCTACTGTAACAGGAGCAACAGTAGAGACAATCTAAGCAAAGGTGGAACATACCTCTCCATTTAGACTTAGACTGCTGCAAAATGAACACATCTGTGGACTAAAACCTGACAAGCCAGTGGCATCTGCTGTATGATACAAGTGTTTGTAAGGTATAAAAGTGATGTTTCACTGAAATATGTGAATATTTAGACTGGAAAAGGATGAAATACCTTCACTAAGTAGAACAAGGCAGCTCTGATAATGTCCCAGGTCCTTCAGATGTAGAGGTGGGGTCACATTAAGGCGAGGGAAAGACTTCAAACGTTCCACCATGCTGCCAAAAGTCCACTGAATATTCACCTGAAAGCTGTTTCATTCAATGAATTAGTAAAAAAAAAAAAAATCTTTAAAACAAGTCATTATTCAACCTGTTTATATTGTCTTTGAGACAATCCTAGACACCAGATTAATATGTGTAATTAATATATAATAATAATTATTAATTATTAAATTTTTTTTTTTAAATACTTCTTAAGGACATGACATGTGCTGAAGACATTTTTTAAGCCTTTAATTTCTTTTTTTTTGTCCTCCATTTGTTCAATTTCCTCAAATTCTTTAAGAACACACTGCATACCATGTTGAGACACACCAAGAGTTCAGTTATTGTGTCTTTGGCAGTTGCCTTTTTTGTGCAAAAACACTATTTTATGTCTGTCAAACTGGGTTATCTTTGGAATATTTTATACATTTCACTACAAAAATGAGAACAAATGAAATGCTTTTATGACAAGCTGCTAGCAATAAATTACCTAAAGATACAAATTTTAAAAAAAGTGAAATTGTATTTGTTTTTTGCTAGAATGTGTTATGTGTAGGCACAAAGCTGAATTATCCACTGGGTTAGGTGTCATTTTTATGCTTCAAAAATGCATAGGTCAGTGCTAAATGGCTTAACAAAAAATACCATTCTTCTGAAAAGTGTGATGTACAAGGACTAAACTGAAAAAGAGTGAAAATGTCCAAAGAAAACGTCTGAAAGACCTTTAGGAATCCTGGAGAACTGCTGCTTTAGTCCACTTAAATAAAATTAGAAGAAAGTCTGGCTACTTGGACGCAAATATAAAGAAATGAGTGGTGGGTCAAGACTTGTGGACAATACTGTATTACTAAAAACAATCATGAATGAATAATCAAGAATTCATGAGAAATTGAATGTTACTGAATTTACATCCATTAAAAACCACCTGCAGAGCAAACATATACTTTAAACCAAATGAAATATATAATCTTTTACTGTTCAGCTGTGCATAGGTGTATCTTAATTTGTTATCTATACCAACAGAAAGTAAAGGAAATCTGCTCAAGTTGTGTTGAAAGAAATAACTCAGTCACACATACTTCTGACCAGATGTCTTGTCGTGGTGACTCCACAGAGGATACGTTCGGACAAATCGAGGAATGCTGAGCAGGATTTTCTCAATGTCAGTGGCTCTCTGTAGTGAGAATTCTTGTAAAGGCTCTTCGGTGCAATTTGGAATTTTCTCTCCATCTAAACAAAATAAAAAGAAGCCAGAAACACATAATTCACCACCATAATGCAATTTATTAAAAATTCCAACCAACTAACGTTTTACATCTGGTGATGCAGCAATGCTTGTGCACAAGAGTTCATTTTAAAATAATTTAAATTTTAATAATAATAATAATAATAATACATAGCTATCACTGCACCAGGCTGAAGAAGGTGCTATCTTTAATGGCTCTCTCATTATGGATGCTTTATACTGTCAAATCCGGTTACCGGTATTTATTTATTTTTTTAATTTCCAAAGTAATTAGTAAACTAGCATTACAGCAAATATAATCTAAACAATTAAAACAACTGCATTCATTTAGACACATTAAAACCTTTAAACTTTATAGTTTAAACTCTTTCAGTGCTATTTGTACCTTTGATTTTCTGAAGGACGTACGCCCTTTCAAAGACATCTGGTACTCCAGGTACTCTGACAGGTTCGCAGAAATGGTCACCATCTTTGGACACGAGAGAGATGGGAGCATAGACTTCATGGTTTGATGCTTGTTTCTGTCAAAACAGAGCCAAGTACGATACATTTAAACTACAGAGATAATATCTATACAAAATACTGGGAGAGGCCAGCTTCTGTTCAAAAATAAACTCAGTATACCTCAATTTTTGAAAGGAGATGTGCCCAGCAGTACAATGAATTTTCAAAGACATCCTGGTCCTCTATGATTTTTTTCCCTCGCTGTGTTGCTTGCTGGGGCAATAACTCCCTGAAGAGCATGTATAAGCCCTCAACAACTGCAATCTGCAAGAAATCAGTCAGTATACAACAAAATTTTCATGCAAAATAAGCAGCGAGTAAATTACAGTTATATACTGTACAAACGATGAGCCTTTTACGTGCTTCCTGCATGAGACACACATACATGGAAACAGGCATGTCATATCTCTACATTCATGAATACTTCAGATGGTTTCATTCACAAGTTACCATCATGGCAATATCATTTTAATTAAATAAATGAAATAAGGTGGCGTGCAAAAAGCTGCTGTGTTAAAATCAGTGGACAAAACATACAAAAAGTCACATAAAAGTCTGATACCAGATTTGTTGGAGGATTATGAGGCCAGTGGTCCAAAGACTTAAAACTGCAGCAGCATGTCAGCTGTCCTCTATTTATGAAGAAGATATTAGAGAAAGACCGAATTCTAAAACTTCTTAAGTCTTACACCACCTCACACTTTTTACCTTCTGGTTCCTGGTCATCCTTTCATTCCTGCAGAGTAACTGATGCAAACTTTGGGTGAGGGGGTTACATCCCGTCAATTTTCGTATGTATGCGATCAGTTTGTTCCGGATTATTTCAGAAAGGTCTTTCTACAAGTAAATACACAGAAATATTTGAAAACAGGGTTAATGCCAATCAGAAAAATTAAACACAATGGGCTAAATAAATTTGAGTTTAGTTTGTGAACACAGGTCAACAAAGTGCACAATAAAGAACCCACAGTGTTTATTTCTCCAGGGTTAATATTGGATCCTTTAGGACAGTGGATCTCAAACTTTTCATAGTGAGCACCACCTCATAAAATTAAAGTACCACCCTTATGACGAAAGTACAGTAGTATCAGCCTGTTTAACAACATATACAGTTTACACGAGACTATTTTATTTCTTATATGATTGTTATTTATTTTAACTGTCACATACAGGATGAGAAAAGTGATAATAATAACAACTTTTGCATTGATATTATATTCCTCCATAAAAGCAATGCTGAAGAGCCTATATGCGATTTTGAAGTTAAATTGCTGTCCTGCAGCAACCTAATCACTATTTGTGGAATAATTTCTGAGGTTCACCAATGCCTGGACTGAATGTAAGGATTTTATGTGAATTTCTGTGTGCATTTATCTATTATGTTGTCTTGGGTGTAGCTGCATGTTTTCATGAGACTATCACCAGGCTTGAAGACAGGCTAGGCATGAATAAATAAAGTTCATGTTCATAGGATAGCAAGACAATGGGACAATATGGGACAGTGTTAAATATAAAACAGCTTACCGCAACAGCATAAAGAGAAGACAGGAACACACTGATTCCTTTCTGGCTTTGTTGGACTGAAGGCACGACATCATTGATGTAGAAAGTTTCAAGGGGAGTCTCTTCAGTAAACGAGGACAGAGCGAAGGCAATAGTTGACCCATCAGAGATTCCACACTTTTGGAGTGTAACAGCACCAGAATGAATACCTCTAAAAAAACCAAAAAACAAACAAACAAAAAAAACAGGGACACCAGAGAACAGAAGAACTCCATCAATGCTAAGACTTTAAGCATGTGAATGTGGGGGTGGGTGACAAGTAACAAAAATACTGGTGGCTACCAATGCTACCCTTAGTTTTCTAGTTTTCTAGGAAATCCTAGGTGACTTGCTTCTTCCAGTTAAGAGAAACCTTGACCTCTGACCTTGAGGTTAAGGTCTTTTAGTAGATCTAAATATGGTATGACTTTCAATATCCTGCATCGCTTCATTCTCAAATTATTCTATTCACAAACCAGGTTGTCTCCGTTGCTCGCCCAGCGAGGTGATGCAACACTTTTTCAGCCTTTTACGTCTGATGGGTAAAAAAACACTTTTTTGTGAGGCAGTTTACCTGGGATGGAGGACATGTGCTGGTATTCCACTTGCATTTGACAGGATCACTTTTAGAGTTGCGATTGTGTCAGTTTCCAAATTCACCATAATCTCAAAGTTTCCCTTAACAGGTAAAGAAAAATATGTTAAAGGTACATTATAACTTTATATACATGTTAAAAATGAAGGCTGACATTTACAACAATAAACTATACATTAATAGAAATAATCGATTCACTTGTATTTCATTCTTCTCTCTTCAACACAATGACTGTTTATCAAGTAAAGGTATATATTTTATTATTTTTAAAATGGAGAAGCTCAGATGCTACTTGGAACCACTTTGTTTGAACAAAAAGAGTTCAGAAATCATTACTGGCTATTTTATTCCTCACAAAGATATAATATGAAAATTGACTGGCCAGTTTCATTTGCTAGCAGTTGCCAATATCCTCAATTGAGCAGCATACTGTTTTTAAGACGCACCTTGAGCATGATGTGACATCGAATGACATCTGTCCCAGAGGTCTTGCCAGACTCTTGTCTTAGCATTTTTGGAGCCTCTGTCAAGTTTTCCCTCGGAGTAAAAATAGCATAAATTACAGCTCCATTTTCAATGTGTCTTTCTTTCAAAGACCCTGGAAAAGAACATAATAAATAGAATAACTGTGCCAGATCCACAGTTAACAAAAATAATTACAGGTTATTTAAAAAACAAATAAATAAATAAAAGTGTTATTCCCATCTATATGTATTAAAGTGAAATCATCTCATATGATCATGATCATTTTAGAAACTGCTAGCGCTTACCAGCAGTCTGAAAACTATTCATTCAAGTTTGTAAATGAACTCTCCCAATATTTCATGCAATTAAACGTTTTTCCCTGAAAGCTGTTTGTATTTTGATAATAGACAAGATTTATTTCCTATTAATCCTGTTTCAATAATACATTTAATTTAATACATTTAACTTTTCTTACCTAGTAACAGACAGAACTACAGAGTGAAAACAAAATTTGCAGGCAACAAATTCAAACTGCAATGGTGTCAGAACTCTAATGCCACCCTGTAATTCTAATTTACATAATTAAATAGTTAAAGCAAAAAGCTTGCCTATTACCTGTTTAAGTATACAGCACTTGGCTATGAAATCAGACACAGTCAGTAGTTCTCTTTAAAATAAATTATGATCATCACTCTGTAAAACAGTAGTTGTTTCTAACTTTTCTTCTTACAAAACAATTTATGGTACTTTTCACTTTTATACCAATATATCCCTTCACCTAAAGCCAGCTTTTCTTGCTAACTTCAAGTATTCATCTGTTTGGATCACAAGGAAACGCAGATAATTTGCTAATTTCTGATGGCCTAGCAAGATTACTTAAAAGGCAGACTTGAGACTAACTTGATTCATCCTAAATATAGTTTGTTATTTTTGGACAAACACACCTTTAAGCACTTGAAAATAAAGTGTGTATAAAAGTGACTACAATTCCTTAAAAGTTACTGGAGTATTTTTGTTCAATCCCTTGAGTCCCAGATGAAAGTCTGGACTCATAACAATCATGTAAATGTAACAAACATGTTTTGGTACATGGTGAAAATTGACTTTAAAAAAAAAAGAAATAAATAAAGGGACCTAAACCTAAACTAACCTAACAGAATCATATACTCCTCCATTGCTGACTTACATGTGTTGAAGAAGGGATCGTCTGTCAAGGGCATCCCATCTACTGTGTAGAGACAAACTCCTTTGGTGTTTCCAACATTTTCAAGGTGACAGATTCTCAGCATTATGTCTTCAATTGTGTTTTGTGCCGGATCCATATCTGTAGCATTGTAATTTTAAACATTTCACCTCCATGTCCTTATGTAATCATGCCAAAGGGATGATAGCTTCTAAAAGATGTGTTCCTGTTACCTGAAATAACCTTTGGTTTAAGACATTTGGGGTATGTGTACTGAAGACTGAACGACTTCACTGACTTTTGTACCGGTCTGCCAGTTAGGACTTGACGTTCTGGAGTGCTCAGTCTTTGAATGAAGTCTTTCATGATTGCAAAACGATTCTTTTCCACATGACTTAAACCTGTAAAAGAGACAAAATAAATTCAGCTTTACCGTTTAAGTTTACTCAAAGGTTCATGTCTTGATGCATGCTGAATCATCCAGGTAAGTAAATCCCAAAAGGTTGATTCTATTCATCTGCTTTTACATAAATGTGGTGCTTTATTTTTGTTAACACGTTTGTTTGTTTTTTTTAGTTTTCTGAGTAATGAAAAAGCTAAACTGAAAATCCTAGCTTTGCTTTTGAGCATTCTTACCAATGCTGTTTAAATCTTCTTCCATCACACTGTCCAGGAAATCTCTTTCATCTTTAACACCCATCTGAACAAACTGGTTGTAGTATGATTCCAGTCTGTGCTGCTCAAGTAGATTGAATATTGCACCCATCTAAACGTAGACCAGGAGATTATAATAATATCTGTCTTCATTAAAAAAAAAAAAAGTCTATAAACATATGCCTATTGATAGGAGAGGCCAGATGTCTGAGTCATGATTTCCAGCTGCATACAATGAATGTATGACTAAGTGAATGTTGACTAACTGAATGCGTGGGACTTTCTTTTGCAGCTGAATGCGCTACAGCTAACTACAATATTATCTTCAACTATTTCAGAGATATGTTGAAGTGCATTGCAGAGTGGTCTTAAGGAATTCTTGAAGTTAAACAAAAGAGATGGAAATCTTACCTTAACACAACTCCAAAGATCACGAAGAACAGTTGTTCAGTCCTAGTTGTAGTTGGAGGAGTGGACTGTGAAACTGAAACCTAAGGAAACAAAACCAAGGGGGTTGGATGTCTCTAGTGAGCAGTGGAGAAATAGTTATTGTATTTGACAGTTTATTGACCTACACAGAGCGTGGATTTCAGAAGGGGGGGGGGGGGGGGGGGGGATAGGAGTTTCAAAATTTCCTGTATGCTGAATAAAAAACAAACAAACATTGAGGACCCCAGGTTTGGTGGGATTGTTGATAAGACCTTTCTTTTTAAGAAGTTCAAGATGACTGTTCTCAGCATTTGCCCTGCAAAGGTCCTTCCTATCTGGTTGATAACACTGAAAATTTGAATATATTTTATGAAGGAGAGGTAATCTACAATTTTGAAACTGCATTTGACAGAGCATGTCAAATGCAAGTGCATAAATAACAGTTATAAATGATTGTCTAATGTTCCAGTTTCTTCCTTAGGCTATTTCTTTATGTTCACATTTCCTTATTCCTTCGTTTTTTCATATATTTCCAAATGCCATTCTTATTGACTTTATATTGGTATTTATATATGTGGAAAATGTCAGTCTAAAACAGGATTAGTCTGCAGGGGCAACCCTTTTATGCATTTCATTATTTATTGAGTGCATTGACTTCTACTGCAAATACATCGTTTCCCTTCAAACCTATTCTGTACAAATGTCTTGAGTAACTCGTCATTTTTTCTATTTGATATTTTTGCAGGAAAATAAGAAATAGGTGCAACAATTTATTGACACATGCAAAGATGGAAATACAGAGAGCGTCCATCTCTAAAGAGATTGAAATTCCAGATTTGGGATGACCACCTTTATTGTTTAACACAGCCCGACCTCTCTTAGACAAGCTTTCTTCTCATTTCTTTAAGTAGTCTTCAGGAATAGTTCACCAGGCTTCTTGAAGGACATTCAAAGTTTTTCTTTGGATCTTGGCTACTTATTATTCTGATCTCATGCTGAATCAATAATGTTGAAGTCTGGACTGTGGGGAGGCCAATCCATGACTGATAGTGTCCAATTGTTCATATCGTGACGTTTTTACTGCACGGTCTGTGTTTGGGATCACTGTCGTACTAATAAACAAAGTCACTGGTGACCAGATGCTTTTCAGATGGCCTCTTGAGCACCAGCGCCCCTAGTATGCAACCCTCAAAGACTAAGTCTTTTATGTAAGTAATCTAAATGTGTGGGAGCCACAGAAACCTTAGAACCCCAGCTAAATGCTCACGCAAACCATTTCTAAAACCAACAAACACAGCGAAAACAAGCGATGACTAAACTAGCAGTTACGTAATTTCGCGTAAAAGTCCGCTAAACACACAACCGTGTCATGGACTCTCCCGACTTCATATAAAAAGGAAAACAAAGCCTGGTTAGCTAGCTGAGCTCTCACCGATTCCAAAACATCAAGTTTCACCCCGCTGACCAAAATTCACTGAACCAGCCGCAAAAGAAGACCACAAAAACGCAAGCTTCCCATATACCCTAAGCCTTACCGGACAGGTTTCCTCAGCTGTTTTTCACCAGTAGCCGACAGCTGCTGTAGCTTGTGGCGGAGCTAACACGAGCCACTTCAATCTTCGGCCATTTTAGGCCCAGTTATAATAGGGCCACGTGGGGTTTTAGTCTTGCAACTTCTGATTGGTGGAAACCCCCTGCATGTGAACGTGTGGTTAATTCTTCAAAAATATAAAAAATAAGAATAATAAATTAAAAAAAAAGAGCAAAAACAACAACCATTTTCAGCATGTTAATGAAATTAAATATTTTTTTGCAATTTAATAGCTAACAAATTCATCTCATATATGGTGTCCAAAATGTCCCAAAATTGTGCAAACTGCACAACGCCTTATTTATTAAAAGTGCTGTCATTTTTCTCTGTTTCACTTTAGAAGCATAAATCTTTGCACAGATGATATTTATATGTTGATTACTGATTTTCTGAACTAAAGCATATTTTAAGGTGTTATATGCTAAAAATGAGTTTGTAATTGCATAGAAATACTCATTTTTATTTTTATTCATTTTGGGCATGTCATTTTGAGATGGAAGCTCAGAAAGTCCTTTGGGTAGGAACAGGTTATTATATGGTCACTGTGTTTTATAGATGGCTTTTGACTGTTCTGACTACTTCCTGAGCTGCTCTATAATTATTGACGTTTTGAAACAAGAATTTCAAATCAGGATTCATCACTCCATAAGATCTATTGCCACTGAGTTTTGGTCCAGTTTGTGTGTAAATTGGCAAATAGCAGATTTTCCTTGCCGTTCCTTCCTTAAGAATGGGTTTTTGACAGCTACCCTTCCAATTTTCTAGGAACACACTGCACACCATGACAAGATATGGCAAGTTTGCCACTAAAAACTTTTTGGAATCATATAGTTTGTACAAAAATCATCTTTCATGTCAAACTGTGTTACCTCAACAAAAGAAATGATAACAAATTATGTGTTCTTGTAACTACTTGTATGAGCAAAGTACCTTAAAATGAAAATATAGAGGGCATTCAAACCTAAATATATATGAAGAAATAAGAGGTGACTCGAGACTTTTGCACCGTTATTATTATTTTTTGAATCCTTACAAACCATGTAAAACATTTTTTGCAACTGTCAATCCATCCAGCTTGGAAATAAAAAGAGAAGAAATAAATGACTAGAAGACACAGAATATCCATCAGAACTACAAGCAACTTTATTTTTCCTTGTGACACACCATTGCCCTCAGGTAGTAGTCGTCTTTAAGTTTGGACTCTTGTAGGAGGCACTGGCTGATGAAACCTCTGGAGAAACTGGGGCTCTGCTGGTTCTTTTGGCTGACTTGTGCTTCCCCCTTGTGGTTTTTTTGAAGAGGTAAAAAAATGTTCATTAATCTTTGCTGGTGGTCGCTGACTGCATGCAGCTGAAGGATGAGATGGGCAAAGTGTTGCACACTGGCCACCCAGGTTTTGTTGCTCTTTGCCATCATTCCTGAAGGCACCACTTAAATGTCTAGAAGTCTCACCGCTGCTCTTCCTTCTGCATGTCTGTGCAGGAGTTCTCCGAGTTTCAGACATGACTGAATTCTCAGACATCTTCCTCCTGCTATCAGCATATGACTGTGCGCTCGCTGATTCTAAACTGCCTTCACAGCTACTATCCTGCTGCCTGTTTTGAATACCTGATTTCCATTTTGCTGCCACAGATTGGTCAGTACTTTTGCTGCTGCAACTTCCTGCATTACAGAGACCGCTGGGAGCAGGAACAAGTGACGGAGTGATATTGATGTTTCTTGGCCTGTACGCAGGGCTGCTCTTTCTCTCCCTCTGCGGTGACCATTCACACTCTGTGCTTTGGCTGTGAATCCTGCAGTTTACTGATAAATGGGTTTTCTGAAGGGGTGAGTTTCTCTCAGATTTTACTTCAAAATTAGCCGTAGAATCCGGGGTCCTGCAGGAAAGACCAGCACTGTCTTGTTCTGGACAAAAACCGCACTGGTTATTATTTCTCATTATGTGGTCAGTGGTGAGGAGACCGTGTGTATGCCCAGATGTGTCAGCAGTGCTGCAGGTAGGTGTTTTGCTTGACTTATTAAAAGCTGATGTGACTCCATGCTGACCGTGAGTCCTGGATGTTGACATCTTAGAGAGACGGGGTCTAGCTGGAGGCCTGGGAATAGGAGGGGACAGAGGAGGAGGTGGATGCGGTCTTAGGACTGATGGAGGAGATAAAGTTTTCAGACTGTCTGAGCTTTGTGCTGCTGTCAGTCTGTGGAAAAGGAATCAGAAGTTCACGAATTAAGGGAATTTTCATTCACAATGACAACAAAAAGAAGCAGTTGAAGGTATTTTTTGAGATGGTGTTATAGGAAAAGCGTCATCGTGTTCACATTCAAAATATTTAATGGAATAAGAAGACAAAAACAAGCAATGAAAGTGAAGCAGCTATTTTAATATTAATTACATAGCTGTCACTAATAATAATGCATACTAACCTGAAACCTTTCTTTGCAGGCAAAGGGGACGAAGGTGGGAACAGAAAGGGGCTGAGCTCCAAATCCACTTGTATAGCTCCTCTAAGTTCTCTCAGGTCTACAAATATACAAACACAACATATCTGAGATATGAAATGGTCTCAAATATGATTAAAACTATTTTGAGATATTGTGATTATTAATTACAAACATTAAATTAAGTCCCTGTTAATCCTAACTAATCCCTGAACGCCTCCTTGTACTCATGA